CTTACAAAATCTTTTCCTCATATTTGTCTCTTTTAATTTATGTACAATTCATAATCATCTACAAGAACAATATCTGTATTTCAGATACATATATGAAAACCATGTTTGAAACATTTTTACATATACTCTGTGGCTTTTACACTGTTCATGCAAGAACAAGATTGAGTATTTGGATCATATTTTAAATCAGGATTTGAACTTCATTGTATGTGTCTACATTGTTCTGTTTAAGTTTGATATTGATAAATTCTCCCTGGGTATTTATCATCTTAAAATAACCTAAAAATTCCATGGATTTGGTATTTTAGAAAGCTTTGTGAGGCTATTGATGTCTAATAACTCTAAGCTTACACATTTTATAATAGCTTAATATATCAAGGGGTAGTCAAATATTATTTTCAAGGTAAAATACTTAAAGGAGAGTGAGAAGCAGAAAAAAAGATTGATTTCATTGTATTGAATATAATTGTAATTGGGCCATTAGCTGACAGAATTCAGTGCTGGCTAGAAGGAGATAAAGATATGACATATGCGCACAAAAATGAAGGCTGGAAGATGAATAGGCCTTCTAGGGAGTTGATCTTTACAGATTAGATAAAGATTCTTCAGGTCTCTTTCAGTCTGTGCTTACATCAAAGACTGTCTTTCAGAGACAGTAACGTGCACTTGGAACCTGGGGACAAGACCTTTGATAATGGACAGGTTTGAGATTGACAGGCAGCTGGGCTTAGCTTTTTTGTTTTGGGTTTTTTTTTGGTTGGTTGGTTGGTTGGTTGGTTTTGGGTGGGTTTTTTGTTGGCATTTTGCTTTGTTTTGTTTTGTTTAATCTTTAGTAGTCCCTTTAAAAGTTAAAGAAAAGCCCATAGGTTGATGTGGTAAATAGCACTTGGATAGTTTTGTATCTGTCTTTCCCAATAGCTGTTTGGCTTTAAAGCTAACAATCCTCTTTGAAAGATTTAAGGAAATGCTAGTGGCAGGTTACTCTTGACTTCTGTCAAAGTTTGATTAAAAATGCTTGCTTGTGATCAGTGGCTGTCTTTCAAGGGATAATTGTTCTTTTATTGATGAGCTAAGTGTTCTGAAAGTTCCCGAAGATAATGCACCCTGAACTATAGATATTTAAGAAATAGCAAGACAGCAAGCAGGTCTGATTCATTTAAAAAAAAAAAAAAAAAAAAAGGAAAAAAGAAAAAAAAAAGTAGAAATAATTGTTTCATCTAGGAACATTTACTAAACAAGTCCTTTTTTAACTACTGTGTTTTCAAGTACCTTAAATTTGACATCAGCTTCTCTTTTGATAGCAGTGGCGAAATCTAGCGTCAGCCCTTTTGAGCCCTTACCTAGAAGCACCCTCTCACAGCTCTTTCAGGCATCCTCCAAAAGCACAGGAATGGAATAACAGCATTTTGTGAGCTTTTGCAGCCCTCTCTTCCTGGTCTTCTCTCAATTTGTGTACTACTTCACAGTAATTTGAGGGTCGCAGCTATAATCTGAGAAACCTTGGTCTCCAGCAGACTGTAAAAAGCAGGGTTTTTTAAATACCTTGAAGTAAGCCAGAATGTTTCTGTAACATGTTAGTTTTGTTCCTTCCCCCCTTTTTAGTGATATTGGGTTTTTTGTCCCCTCTATCTAAAAAGGTGTTAAATAAAGCTTCATTCAAGGCCTAAAAACATCTCTCAGCTTTCATCTTCACAGCGCTCATACAGAGGCATGGAGTAAGAAATAATTAAAGCCTAATAAGCAGAAATATTGTTTTGCATGTTTATTTTAGAACAATTTCTGCTTATTTGCTTGCATATAAAAATCCAAATCTCAACATTTTGGTATTTGCTGGAGAAACCTGTAGGGAACTGCCATGGGTCATGGTGTTAAAGAACGTGTGTTACCTTATTAAAGGCTCATTGCAATGAAAGGGAAGATGGGGAGTGTCAGGTGTCAGCCTGATGGTGTAGAACTCCTCTCTTGGCGTTCTCCAGAGACTCTTCCATCAAAACAAGGAAGGCAAGACCTGACATTTGCATACCTCAAAAGGAAGCAGGCATGATTTCTTTGAGAGAGATGAAAAATTAGTCTCTCCTTGTGTCACAATAAAGGGCATAGGTAATTTGAGTTTGCTTCACAGTTGAGTTATTTTTGACCCAGAAGTCTTGACTTCTTACTCTTGCTCGTAACAGAGCTCTCTATGTGGGGATGTGAATGTCTCCGGCATTAGACTCCATATTGCTATAGCAGTAGCATTTCTCTTTGCATAGAAATGAGGAACTTCTCAGAACACCTTAGCTTCATAAAATACTTTTTTTTTTTTTTTTTGTAATTTATTTTGAATACTCTTCCCTTATCTTTCCTAAAAATATCAAAGGTATTACACAGGAGAGAAGGATTCTGGTTTTTGCATGCACAGACTTCCTATCAGTCAACCCATATCTTTTGAAAAAAACACCCACTTCTTGAAAATGAAGTCCTTCTGTGATCCTTGCCCTTGTGATATCCTGCATGTAAAAGTTGATGAAGTCTTCTGCTGGAGACAAGCTGGGTGATGAGAGATCCGGTTGGTGGTCATGTGTGGGTTTTGGTTTGGTTGAGTCGAGGAACACAGCCGTTTGCTCATTGCTCATCCCTCTAACTGGTTGTGCTTGCTTTTGTACAAGCTTGACTACCTTTAACAACATTAACCTTATGCTCTGTATGCATCCCTCAAATGACAACTTCGCATTTTGGAAGCTATTTTAAGGTATAAAGAGCTGTTGAAATTATGTGTTGTGTTATTTAGCAGGTTTTTTAGACAGTTAGGATAGGTTCTAACTTAAATTTGACTGAAAAATTTTTCAAGGAGAAGAACGGGGAGGGGGGGGATATACTTTTTTTTCTCCATTAGAAACCACCACCCCCCAAAATATAAACCAGACAAAAAAGCAACCAAAGAAAACCTTTTACTTTTTTAATTTGCTTTTAGCATATTTGCGTTATAGTACAGATTAGCTGAAGAATCTACCAACATTTCATGAAGCTGAGGAATTTCAGGTGTGGCTGCAGTTCTTTCCATGCAAAATTCATAGTGATGTTAGTGGTCATCATACATTTCTCTTCATAATCTGTTCATCAGTTTGTGCATTTGGGTTCTACTGTCTGTGGTAGAAAACAATTGCAGTTCACGGGGTACCTCAAGGTAATGAAGCAGACTGTGAGGGAAAGCTGAGGGCAGTGTTAACTGCCGCTATTTACATGTGTAGTAAGTGTCATATCTTGCCTTGCTACAATCTGGTGATACATGACTTAATCAGCTCAAACTCATCAGAGGATAGGCCAAATTTAGATGCAGAATTAGCTATAGTGAGTGAAGAAATTAGACAGATAAAATTGTTCTAGCATGTTACCAAACAACTGAAAATACTGCAGATACTGAGGTGTTTGTCCAGTGCTGTTGAGGGAAAGTTGTACTGTGCTTTTTCCCAGTGTAATGCATGTAATTATATTATAGTTTTTCTTTTGTAAATGCAATACTTGGCCACTCTGGAGGATACCTCCAGTTGGCAGTGCCTGCAAGATGCCAGTAACTTCCTGTTAGCTAAGAACCATTTGAATTGACTATAAAATGAGTGAATGGGGACACCTACTTTCTGGCAGCAGAGCACACAGGTTGGTTAGGGTCTTTTTGTTTATACAGGACGACTGCAAACGAAAAAGAAAGGAAAAGGTCTTAAGTTTTGCTTTGTGAGATTTATCCTCCTGATAGCTGTTAGAGAGACTGCCCTCATGGGATCAGATAATGTTGTGGTTGCTGTCCCGGACTGGGGCTGGGGTGAGATTCTGACAGCACCATCTCTGTGATTCCAGCTGGCCTGAACTTTCTGGTCATACCCTTTTTGGTCGTTGGCAAGAACTGACAGTTAACTCAACTGAAAACGTGACTTAGACCACCAGTTCATTTTGTGTAGGAATTGGTCTGAATATTGAAAGGATCATCAGAGTTACTGTGCAGAACTCCCCAGAAACAGTTGCTAAAATGTTTATTGGGCTATAAAATGATTTAGTCCTCAAAGTAAGTCCCTCAACAATTAGGACATGGCTGAATCCACATGAACTTTGTTCACATCAGGTAGCTGCTTCTTCAGAGCGAGCTTGCTTGCTCTCAGGCTGGGTGTTTGCCTCCAGGGCTGCCAGCACTAGGATACTGTGGGCAGCTCAGCTGCAGAACACGTGTGATGCGTGGCAATTTGGACATGCAAAATTGTGGTAAACTTCTCATAAGCGTGTTACCAACAGCTTTCTTTTTTTCAAGGATTTATAATTTTGTATGAGGAGGGACATCACCAACCCAATAGATGTGTCTGTACAAGAGATATTGATTCGAAAGTGCATAATCTGATCATTCCTGTGCACTGTGCTTTGCTTCCCGTGGGGCTGAGTGGACAAACTGGATTTCTTTCAAATTAATTTAAACGGGAAAAAGGCCCTCTAGGAGCATGTCTGTTACTCCAACTGCTAATGTGCATTCAGTCCATGGGACCAGACCACAGCTAGTCCCAATTACCGAGTTTTTATAGCTCCCTAACAATCACAGGGGATGTCAGTACTTCCTATAATTGAAGCTAAATAATTTAATGGAGAAACAAATGCCCATAATACTTGCCATTGGATGGTAGATTAAATTAATACATATAAGGCAGGGTGGTGTGTGTAAAGAGAAAGTATTTTCAGAAGGATATTAATGGATTTTGAACTTGAACTTCTTAAATGATATTGGAATAACGGTTAAGCTTTTTGATGCATGATTATAGTACTTAAATAAGCAAGTGATACAGAAAAACAGCATGTTTGAAATGAGATGGTGCATCTTTACTCAAATACACATAATTTTCAAATAAGTGTAAAAAAGCATAGATATATAGAAAATTGTATAGAGAAAACATGTATATGAAGAAATAAAAAAAAAAAAAGAAAGCCTTTGCTGTGTGAAGAAGCAGTAAAGACTAAAATGTATGTCCTCTCTTTGTCTTCAGCGCCTCGCTAAAGAAGCAGAGAAGTACCAAGCATCACATCAGTGGAGGGATGAGTTTGGGGTAAGTTTCAGTTTTTCTTCTTTTAACCTTCTCAAATTTTTCCTCTTTGAAATTTTAACTATATTCTTACAAACCTGTTGTTTATATAGCCACCACAGGAAAAGCCATTGACTATGAATGGACATTTTATTTTATACAGTAAACAGAGACTCAGTCTGGGTGTCTGGAGAACAAAGTGGACTTTTCACTTCAGAAGCTCATAGGGAGCTTCACAGACCCAGGGAAGTAGCTCTGGGGTGTACACAAGACATCTGTTTGTTTTGACAATGAATGATTACAGAGAAGACATCTGAGTGATGTTTACTATAAGTTAAAAGTGTTCTACTCCAAGCACTGAAACACAAAATAGTAGAAAAGATTTTTATGAGGGTTTTGTGTTTTTTTTTCTTATGTGGTGGAAAAAAGTAGAAAAAAGCTTAATATAGAAGGATTTGGTTATCTCCGTGACTGTGCATATTGAGTCATAGACTATTTTTTAAAAATCCTTTTCCATACTTAAATAACTACATCCCTTCTCTTCAATATGCTAGTACTACTCAAACAGGCCCTAACCTGGTCAAACACTAAACTATCCTCTTCAATCATTTCAGACTTTTCTGAAAAACAAGTGTAAAACGTACAACATTAATATTTTATTACCGATCAAGCCAAATTAATATTGTGCTGCATGATTATAAGCCTGTGAATTTTAAGCTACAGTTCCCTGCTAAGTGTCAAAGTCATTTATTATGCCTTCATTACCTGTTCTTTCAGAAATAAAAGCAGATGGTGCTTTTACGTGATGCTGCTACAAACCTAGTCTGTGTTTGCACGTCCACTAGAATCATAGTGGCACACAGCTAAATGCGCAAAGGTTTGCTGTAATGTCCTTTCTGATCTAGTGTTCCTCAGACACTTGGAGATTTGAACACAAACCGACCAAAAAAAAACCCACTAAGGTTGGGCCAAATAATTCAGATAAGAGTGACTGGCTTTTAGGAATGCAAAGAGGGTCTGGACACAGACTGAGTGCTTTTAGGTGTGCTCTCTGCACAGGCACAGCTTCTAATACACAGTAAAACACAGAATGCATATTCCATAGGGATGCAATAATGCAAATGCCACAGAAACCTTTTCTGCTGATCTGTCTCTGTTTTGAATAGAAAACAAAACCTGCAGGTTTGATGGACCCAGTGCAGAATAATGTGGATACGGTCAGATGCTCTTTCTAATCATTTTGCTTCTTGCTGTACACACTGGCATCAGGACAACAACACTGTCTCAGCTTTTGGTTTTCTTTTTTGCCCTTTACTTGGAGCAGAAGTCAGTCATACCAGAGAGGCTTCTGGTCTTACCAGAATTCATTGACGAAGAGAGATCGCAAAGTAATTTTGAAATGTGATTTTATATTAATGTTGTGGCTCAGGAAAAGACTGTGGTCAGAATAAAATAAAGAAAAATGCAGTTGGATTTATAATAAAGTAACTGCAAACTGAGCTTGTGCTTTACTGTTTTGAATTTGGATGAGAACAGTGTGCACCATATAATAACCTTGACATTAGGTTATGCAATTAAATTTCAAATAAATGTATTAAGCCTTTTATAATTTAATTTGTTCCATTTTTGCCAGAAGTAATCTTTCTTCTCTTCTGGCCTACTTTTTAGAAAATGCCTGCTCAAATTAGTTTGCACACAGATCTTTCTGATAAACTTAATTTTCACTGGAAGATTCATTCTCCTAATGGCTGTGATGGAAAATTGAAGATATACTATAAAACTTTCTGAGGGTGAGGGTTCTTAAAGTACTTCTGATAGCATTATGAATGGTCTACATCATGTTGTATGAAGTTTTATTTCTTGTCCAGGATTTGGTTTTGGGTGATGAAAGCCCTTCCAGCAGCATTGCACATGAGTCACTGTAGAAAGAAAGTCTTTGGGACAATCTATTTCTGCTTCTAATGAGCTCATGATCAGCAATGTCCTTGACAGTCACACTGCAGCCGAATAATAGCCTATGGAGTTTTAAGGAGAAAATATCACAAACATTCCTTCTGGGGAAGTATATATGGGCTGACTTCAGTGGAACAAATCCAAAAGACGAAGGGCAAAGAGGGCTGGCTGGCCATAACACCAAGGCCTATATAGAGCTATAAGGGATGTGTCAATCAAAAGACTGCCAGAGTGGTTGTTCTAACACCTTATTCAAAATATGAATGCTTATTAGAATCGTAGAATACTTGGGGTTGAAAGGGCACTTTAAAGGTCATCTAGTCCAACCTCCCTGCAATGAGAAGGGTAGTTATTGCAGTGTGCAGGAAAAGAAGTGTGTAAGCATTAAAGACATCAAAGATTTTATTTGCGGGTTAATGTCACAGTATAATAAAAATTCAGTATCCTCAGATATGGTCTTTTGAAATTACCTAGTACAGGGGAAAAACCTTTGAAGGTCCAGATTTGGCATCCCTTCCCTCCAGCCTGTCAACCATACCACTCAGTTTGGTGTTATCCACAAACTCTCTGAGGGTGCACTCAACCCCGCTGTCCATGTCCCCAGCAAAGATGTTAAATAATACTGGTCCCAGCACAGACCCCTGAAGGACACCACTTGTCACTGGTCTCTACCTGGACATTGAGCAGTTGACTGCAATTCTTTGAGTGCCATCCAGTCAACTCCTTATCTGCTGAGTGGTCCACTCATCAAATCCATGTCTCTCCATTTGAAAGACAAGGATGTTGTGTGGGACAGTATCAAATGCTTTGCACAAGTCCAGGTAGATGATGTCAGTTGTTCTTCCCTTCTCCGCTGATGCTATAACCTCTTGTAGAAGGCTACCAAATTTGCCAGATGCAATTTGCCCTTAGTGAAGCCATGTTGGCTGTCACCATTCGCCTTCCTGTCCTCCATGTGCCTTAGCATAATTTCCAGGAGGATCTGCTCCATGATCTTGGCAGGATCACTAGTTAAAGAAATCTTTACTAAAGTTTAATAATTTATATTTTTTTGTTGTTTTGTTTTATCTGAAATACCATTCATGTTTACCAAAATCAAAAATAGCTCTGAACATAGAAATCTCAGACTGATATTAATTTGAATTTGGGAAGCTGTGACCCAGCAACCCACTGAACAGAGAATATCTGGTATTTGCTAAAGTATTTTCATATTCTTGTCCTTCTGTCATATTGCATAGCTTTCTAAATACACAGATTGACACTGGGGGCTATATATATTCTTCTCATTAATAAATCAATACTTTTTAGTTGTATATTGAATGTCTCAAGAACAAAAATAAAAATCTAAAATGAGTTAAGAGCATGTATCTTACATATTTACCATTAGTTTTTCGCTAAGTGACAGAAATAAAGATCATAATGGATTTTGGTATTTTACATTGATAATTAAATAACAAAATAATCTTGGCAATTATTTATTGATTTACTAAAAAGTGCAAAATTATTCAAAGGAATATTAATTAAAAATAATAATTAAGAATAATGAATGTCCTCTGAGTAAAAAAGGAAAATAAAATCATTAATATTCAATTGTAATGTGTTGTTTCCTGATTAAGCACAAAGTCAGTTAAAATATCTGAACTGCAGTTTGCATCTACAGCCCTAAAATAATACTTACCTGTTATGAAACTATTAAGTCTTTAGAAAATATTTGTGAAGTTTGTGAAGGCATATCCAAAGCACTTAGCTTTTGTCAAATAAAGAAATACCATTCTCTGCTTTCTACTCCATCGGTATTGCCCAATTCCCTAACTGCATGTACAGCTGGAGAAATAAAACCTACTTAAATGTTTTTAGATTAATGCAGTTACAAACCAGAGGTACAAACCAATATTTCTAAATGAAACAGCCCTGTCAGTTCGAATATTCTTGTATGCTGCAGAGTGAAAGGGGGGTGGTTTTGACACTTGTGATGGTCCAATTATTTTTCTGGCATAGAGACGCATGAAAAAAAATTGTACGTGAATTGGAAGATGGAGGGGAGAACTCTGTATGAAATAATTGCTGTTATTCCCCAAATGGATCTTCTACAATTACATTTGATCCCATATTTGATTGCCTTGCAATGGTTGGTTAACTAAAGCAATTTTGTTTCCAGTTGGGTTGCAATATTAATTGTACTTACACATGTATAAACATAAGGGATATCTCATTTGTATTTTAACAAGGGGCATCTTTATGGATGGCCTATTAGCATCCACTTATTTATATGAAGACTGAAACTCAGACTTTTAGGAATTAATTATCACATTAACATGCCACATGAAAAATCCTTTCAACACGCCTTATCTTTTAACCAATAATGTCATTTTATATTCTTCCATGTAAATGATGATTTTGTGAGTCCTGGTATTTCTGAGATAGTATTTGCTGTCATAATAATGTGCAGGCTGGTGTTTATGTACCAGCTGGGCTTAAAAGTAAAGACAAAAGATCATGGAAATATACTATGGAATTACTTTTTTTTTTTTTTCTTGTGCAAATATTGGCTGCATAAAACTGTAGTGAAAATTTGCTTAGCAAAGAACTGGAAGATAAAAAGGAAAACTGAGATAAAACAAGTCTCGCATCACAAGAATTGATACAAGAGGTGACCTGCAAGAGTAGGCATCTCTCTGTGTTTGTCGTGCCTTGCAGATTGAAGATTTTCAGGACTGTCTGTAATTTACTGTAGATGTTACAAAAATGTTAAAACAGTTCACGTTAAAAGCTTCCACTGGGAAACAAACAAACAAAACCCCAGACTTTCAGAATTAATACTGTTTCATTCTGAAGAGGCAGTTTAGTAAACATACTTTGTCTTTTGAAAGAGGGAAAAACTGTAACGAGAACAACCTGCAATACTTTTTCTCTCAGATCATCAGAGAGAGGATACAGCTCTCTCATGGCTTGTACCTCTGACAGTCCTCTTGGGTGCAAAGAGCATCTGTGGGAAATGATGCTGTTTAGATTTGGCTCCAGACCAGGGAGTCAGTCCCCACAGGCGCAGAGTAGGTGTGGGAACCTTTCCC